AAGTCCAGAAGGATCTAATCAAATCAGTGGATTGGCTTAGAAGGTTGTTATAATATATACTGGGAAAATGTAACCTAAACTTTCTATAATCGCAGAAATCTCGGAACAAGCCAAAATCTCACAGTGAAAGGAAATGCAGAGAGCATCCTTAGAAACCCAGTGGGGAAAACTAGAACCCATAAAAGACAACATTAGAGGGTGATGGCAGAACAGCATGGTGAATATATCTGGATTCTGCTCCAGTATCTGAGTGCTACACTTGGCTAAGGCTTATCTGAAAAATGACTGTGTGTCATTTGTCTTTATTCATATTGTTGATATGAAAGTTAACAGGAAAGTGCATTGTCCAAGGTAACAGCAATTCAGTGCATGAATGCACACAGCACTCTGTAACTGCCTGGATTGTCTTGGGAAACATTCCATCCAAATATGGATGCCCCGCACTACGCACCGGAAGCTACTCATGTATGAGTCATGGGAAAGGATGCTTGTATAACACTCCTGTCTACACATTAGAGCCCTAGAATGTAACTGAATCCGCTGGATTCTGATGAAAGTGCAAAGAGTTCTTTTAGAGACAAGGCTACAAACAAATGTATGTTCAATTCCTCTTTTCTGTATTAATCTACCGTCACATTTGGAAAAAATGTGACCCATACTTTGCTGCTTGCACACTTATCTCCTTGTACTGTATATGAAATGCTATGACAGTGAATTAGAAATATTGAGTATTTTGAAATCTAAAGTACTCACAGAATCATAAATACCAGAGGGATGTTCCCAATGGATTTCAGATTAATCTTTCTCAATAATTTGCTACTTCTCTCAAATATGGTAAATTACATCTACATCTGCAAATCATGCCTGCAGCATTCGTTCGCACAACAAAGGACAAACTCTTCAGTGAATCTTACTGAAGATCTTACTGAAGTGAGAATAATGAATAAAAAAAATATTCTTACTTTTAATTGTGTAGGAGTTTCAAAAACATTCTAAAATAGTTGGAGTAGGGTTGCACACGATATCAAAATCAGTACATTTGGGATAGCATCCTGCTTTAAACGGATAGGAGCAAAAGAGTATGTATTAATACAGGGTACATCAAAATTCTTCTGGGGATAAAATTTCCCAAGGCTGGATCAGCCAAGGTAAGCAATTCCAAAATGGTACATTGGGATCTATTAGTAGAGGGGCTTTATGAACAAATTTCCCATTAAAGATTGCTGACTACTTCCTATTGCATATAATTCCCAGGACTGCTCAGGGGACGATTCTGACACTTAAAGTGTTTATAAGAGGAATAAGAGGCAGAAGAAAAATCCCTAGACCAGACTTATAGCTCTCCAACTCCCTTCTACACAGCCAATACTCAGGGATGGTGGGAGTTATAGTACAGCAACATATGACTGGGCACAGATCCTTTCCCTGGTTGTGGGATGTAGGCATACACTGCCTTCTCATACATGGTAAAGATTATTGTTTCAATAACTCAAGTAGTTTAAGTCCCTTCCACATGAAGCATATTCTTACACAGCAGGTAAGAATGCTAGACTTGACTAATGTGTAGACATAGGACCTATGTAGACATAGGACCGGATACAAGAGACGGAGAAGCTGATTTATGAGCAATTGTTTTAAAAAGCAGGGTAGGAACTGGGGGGGGGGGATTTCATGATTTCCTGATACTATAAGATCCCTATCTACACCCCAACCCCAATCCACTGCAGAGGTGACCACAAAGTGAAACAATTCTTGACCAGCAGTGACAACCTCTTCAAATGAACATAAGGAAATTATTGTAGCTCAATAATTCACATAAGCACCCCCCCCCCCAAAAAAGGGATGGAGATGGCAGAGTAAAACATGCTGTAGTATGAGAATGGACTGGATGGCCTAATAACATAATTGGATTTAAAATAACTAGATAATTCTATTACCATTAACAACATTTGCAGCTATACAAGCTAAAACATTGTTACTATGGTAATCAGTTCTCAGGCTCCACTGCACAAAATGACAGCAGCAGGGACTAACAAGGAATTCCATCCTGACTCTAGACCCAAGCACAAGGCGGGCAGAATTAACCACACATATGCAGAAGCATTTTCCCAACAATTTTCATTTAAAAAAACAACCAGGCGGCATCAGATTTCAATCTGGAATTCAGGCTTATAGTTTGAAATGAAGATCTGGCTGAAGGCAATATCAATTCAAAATAGAAGCTGCCATAAGTTCATGGCCCATTTCCATATATATGACTTACTATAAATGCTAGTGATGTTTGGTGTCCTAGCACATGAACAAATTTTCAATATAAACCTGAGCATGAAAACATGGGGCAAGAAAACACCAGAGCTGAAATGAAAATCCAGGGTTCTCAAAGTGTCATGAGACCACTGGAGAAACAAAATGTTTCTAGAGGAGGTGCAAACTTTGTCCTAATTCTCACCTACATTTTTCACAGGAAATTGTCTGAAGGCACATTGTACTGTTTACGATGTACTGCTTCTTTACACAGCTAAAGAAGTCTTACTTACTCCGGACAATGTCATTAGAAAGATGGTCTGGATCACAGAAGCTCCATTTAAGGTTTCCTGAGCCTTTGAATGGAAGAGAATGACACAACTGCAGATCAGGTGTGGGGAGGTTTTCAGTCTGTGTGAACTACATTATTTTTTTACTAGACCATATGCTCCATCAACTGCAGCCAGGAAGAATAAAAGTGTGTGTAATGAGTATGGGTTGCTCGTGCGTAAGTTGCCGCCTCTCCTGGCTTTGTTGCCTTGTTAAACCTTTCAGTCTGGGCAGCCCTTCACTTCATGGCTGCCTCAGTCGCTAGCAGAATCCGTCAGTGGGCGTTTCTTAAATCTTTTCCAACATAAAAGTTGTTTGACACCCTCAAGGCGGCATTCTGCGTTGCCATTAGGGGCCTGATCCATTCTCTGGCCCCATCCTTCAGATGTCTGACAATATAGGCAACCCTCTCCCCATCGTCTGCAAAATCATTCTGTTGCAGTTCCAACGCGTACTCTATTTCCGTTCGGAACGCACTGTAGTCCTGGGGTTTCCCTCCAAACTTGTGTACCAGTCCCGGTACCTTCCTTGCTACGGGGGTGGGTGTGATGGCCTGGGATTCCGATTCAGAGGCTGAACCGGAGGAATCCCAGCCTGCACAGGACTCCCCGCCTCCAGGGCCGGCTGAACTGGGACAGGGCCTTGATTCTGAAGCGCCTGCACCTGTGCCGGATCCTCAGGAGCAGGCACCAGGTGAATCCACTCTGGCTCCGGAGGTGGTTGAGGACTCAGTGCCTACAGGTGAGTCACCCCCTGGGCCTAGTAACCCTTCAGCCTCTCCTGAACTGCAGAGGCTCAGGGCAGAGAGGCGAAGGGAACTGGTTTCTCCCAGGAGGAGTGCGGGAGCAACGTCGTTGATGAGCTGTTTCGGCCAGCATCCAGTCCTGTTTCCCCAGTGTTCCTGTCCCCGCCCGGCTTCCTGCTTCGGACCTCACCTCGCTCCTTGAGAACTGTTTCCATACCAGTGACCAAGGACCGGACTTTAACTACGCCAACGGTAACCTTCCCCCCGGGACCAGCACAGTGGGTTTGACCTGAGCATCCTGAGACCGCCTTTCGTCCAGCCGCGCCGTCAGCAGAGCCACATGCTGTTCCAAATCTCGGTTCCTCTCCACCAGATTTTGCACTCCAGCTGCTCCCTCCGTGGCGCCAGCTTCTCTGGTTTTGCTCATGATGCTGCCTGCCTGTCGCTGTGCACGAGCGACGTCAGGGACTGACGGATTGCTGTAATGAGTATGGGTTGCTCGTGCGTAAGTTGCCGCCTCTCCTGGCTATGTTGCCTTGTTAAACCTTTCAGTCTGGGCAGCCCTTCACTTCGTGGCTGCCTCAGTCGCTAGCAGAATCCATCAGTGGGCGTTTCTTAAATCTTTTCCAACATAAAAGTTGTTTGACACCCAGTCTCCTCCTACTCTCTCTGCGCGGAAGTCTTCTGCGCAGGGAGGGCGTGGGTAGCGGAGGACCCGTGCTCTCCCCGCTGGTGTCCGGTGAAGAGTCCTGGAGCCCTCTCGCCGATTCCCCATCTGCCCCCCTTTATCCCTGGTGTTGCGCTGATTTGCTTCCCCATCTGCGGAGCTGCCTCTCTCCCTGCTGGGCCCTTCTCCAGCATCATTTGAGAGCCTTCCCTCCGCCTCTAGCTCCGATGTCAGTTCCCTGACAGTGTGGATTGGAGAAGTTAACTTAGATACAAAATGGTGGTTCAGGGAGTGGCATGGATTACCTACTACAGCCCATGAACCACATAATGGGATGACCTGCAAATAACGAGGACAAATCTATGACACACTTAGTACAGATATGTGACTCTAAGAGCCTGATTATGGAAAGGGAGATGGGACGAGTAGAATACATCCTACCTTCAGCCTACCCTTGCTTTGAATAACAGCATGTTTTGTATATGTTGGTATAATATCTCTCTTCTAGCCCTATAACCCAAACAGTGTAAAGGCAGAAGGCTTTGTGCTATGCAAACAAAAACCAACAGATGATTTGCTTGCATTTTGTGCTGATTTTTCTTCCTCTTTGGATGGATTTTCCCCTATGCCATTTACAGAACAAGAGATGGCCTGGCCACTGAATCATGGCTTTCACTTAGGATTATTTCTTAAGTTATTCGGACATTGTGGTTGCTCACCACAGGCATTCAGTCTGAGAGCTGCATAGGCAGTCTTACATTGGAGAGGACAGACCTGCCACACTGGCATGCTACCTATTACCATATATGCTTAGTTGGTTAGTGCTGATGTGCTTTAGTGACTAACAGACTGAATTGTGAACTGCGAAATCTCTAGAACAAATCTTAACTCAGCCATGAAGTTACCAAGAATGTAAGTGCTTCTGCTGCTGCTGCTGCTGCTGCTGCTGCTGCTGCTGCTGCTGCTTCTTCTTCTTCTTCTTCTTCTTCTTCTTCTTCTTCTTCTTCTTCTTCTGTGATCACTCGTAGCTGAGTAAGATTGTCTTCCATAAACACGGTTTTAACAGTGAGTCCATGACTCTGGAGGCCAATTCTGGATCCAAACGTCCTTCCACAGTGGGGAGATTGGTTTCCGGGCGGGAGTTGATCACGGTGTGGATTTGCAAAGCATGCCTTCCTCCTAGCACGTTTCTCCCTTGTGTCCTGAGTTCGAGTGTCTTCAAAGCCCATGACACCTTTGGTAAAGGCTGTTCTCCAACTGGAGCGCTCGCAGGCCAGTGTTTCCCAGTTGTCGGTGTTTATATTACATTTTTTTAGATTTGCCTTGAGACAGTCTTTAAACCTCTTTTGTTGGCCACCAGCATTACGCTTTCCATTTTTAAGTTCGGAATAGAGTAGTTGCTTTGGAAGACAATCATCGGGCATCCGCACAACATGACCAGTCCAATGAAGCTGATGTTGAAGAATCTTTGCTTCAACACTGGTGATCTTTGCTTCTTCCAGTACACTGATATTAGTTTGCCTGTCTTCCCAAGTGATGTGTAAAATTTTTTGGAGACATCATTGATGGACTCTTTCGAGGAGTTGGAGATGGCGTTTATAAGTGGTCCGTGTTTCACAAGCATATAGTAAGGCTGGTAGTACAATAGCTTTGTAAACAAGCATTTTGGTTTCCCTGCGAATGTCCCGGTCCTCAAACACTCTGCACTTCAATTGGGAGAAAGCTGCACTCGCAGAGCTCAGGCAATGCTGGATTTCGGCATCAATGTTGGCCCTTGTGGAAAGATAACTGCCTAGGTAGGAGAAGTGATCAACATTTTCCAAGGTTACACCATTGAGTTTGATTTGTGGCGCTGCAGAGGGGGTTTTTTTGTACTTGTTGGTGCAGCACTTTGGTTTTTTGGATGTTGAGTGATAGGCCAAGCCCTGCCTATCTAGGACAGCATCCTCTTTCCCCAAGTGGTTACCTCAAGCAGATGTCTTGTGGGGTGGAAACAAGCAGAACAGGAAGACAATAGCGCCCTCTACCGTCTCTCATTCTCCTGATCCTGGAGGTAGCATTTAGCTGCCACCCTCCATGAATTTCCAATTTTTAGTTCTCTAAGCTAGTGGCAATCAGTGCTGAATGTGACTGCAAATTCCATAGGTTAACGAGGCACTCTATGAAGAAATGTTTCCTGCTATCTGTCCTGAATCTCCCATCAAGTAATGACATCCTCTCACAGCTTAGGTCAAATATTATGCATTCTAAGCTAATCGCAAGTTCTTGATGGCTGCTGTTGAAAGGAAAAGGGCATATACTTGTTGTATCTTTGTCTTTCTTCCATAACAGCCAGGAATCGGTAAAAGGATTACTGTCTTTTAAGAAAGTGAAGATAAATCCTTAAAGGAGGAAAAAGACAACTACTTAAAGCAAGGTCAAATGAAAATCCAGAGGCCCCTAAAGCCTGATAAGAAAGTCTAAAAATCACAATAATTATGTTTACGCATTTACTGGCAAGTGATAAACACTGCAAAGAGACTTCACAATATCACTGAACATCAAACAGTGTCCTTCCTTCTCTCTTCAAACACATCTTTTTAAAAAAAATATCTAGTGTGGGCCTTCAAAGTTGAAAAATAATTCACTGAAATAGAAACAGGATGTGATTCTAGCATTTGTTCCCAGCTGAATCTTTTCAAAGAAAACTAACAGCATGCATTTGAAAGAAAAGGAGTTATTAAAAACTGCAGGCGTCTCAAAACTGTTACAAGGAATAACTGACCCCATGGTATTCCACAGTAATATCACCTCCATCTCTCTCTCTCTCTCTCTCTCTCTCTCTCTCACACACACACACACACACACACACTAGATCACTGGAAGGAAAGACAATTCAAATAAAGATAAAAAAGAGACGGGCCATTGTGGACATATAACCCAGTATCATATGCCCCAAGTGGCACCACCTCTCTAGGGTTTCAGACAAAAGCCTTTTCCAGCCTTACCTGGAGATGTTAAATATTGTACCTGTATCCTTCAGAATGTAAAGCATATGTATTCACAAATTACTATATCAATTCAGTATTCCCAATACACATAAGCTGTTACATACATACATACGGAAACTCAGACAAATTCTGTTTCTTTTTGAGAGAATAACCATTTAATAGCTACAGGGGTACCTTGTGTTACGGACGGGATCCATTCCAGAGGCCCGTCTGTAATGTGAAATGCCCGCAACTCGAAGCACTGTGTCTGTGCAGGTGCGCGGTGCAATTTGGTGCTTCTGTGCATGTGCAAGCGGCGAAACCCAGAAGTAACCCATTCCAGTACTTCTGGGTTGTTGCGGGACGTAACACAAAAAGACGCAACATGAAGTGGACACAACACGAGGAATGACTGTACTGCCAAAAGGGGACCATATATGAACCTGCTCATCTGAGAAAGTTGTTGCATTATTTTCAGAATTCATGCCCAGGCATGCAAGGGCCCTGATGGAACTAGTTTCACATTTTTACTTGTACAAGAATCTCAGCTATTTCCATAAGGCAATTTTATACTCAAATATAATCTTAGAGCAACTGATGAAAGCAACCCAGCCTCCACCAGAACATTAATGAAATGGTTGAACAGGCTTGAATTCTCATTATACTTTTACAAATTGATAGGTTATATGCTCTGTTTATTGAAAATAGCTCTAAAATGTTGAGCAATATTTTTTTAAAAAAAAACCTCCAGTGCTGTATGTACTGTTTTTCTTGGAGTTTAAACAAAAATGTGTTCCTCTTTGGAAAAGTGTCAGGTCATTAAAGCCAAAACTTTAGCCAATACTTCATGAGAAAATTACAGAATTATGTCTGTTTGCGATTACCAACACAAATTTCTCATGAAAATCATTCCCCCTGGAGCATTCAAAACTAAATGAGGAAGAAAGACTAGAATGTGCTTAGTGTGATCAAGATAGCATTTCCCGCCAAAACGCTTCACAGGGATTCCTTTTAAACATCTATATCAAGTTGTTTATACAAAAAAGAGTGTTAAAAGCTTTAAAGCAGTTCACATGTTTACTGCAACACTGCAGATCCTGTACATCGAATCTGAAAAATTAGGTGGCTGAAACTCCACTGAACCCTGTATGATCTAAACATCAAAATGTAAGCAGTAACACAGCATAGAGAGTTTTCAAAATACTGACAAGCATGAGAGGCTTAATTTTTTTTTTTACTTAGGAATGCATATCGTGCTTTTCCAACAGAGCCCTCAAAACAGCTTTCAGTAAAAATTCCAAATACAAAAAACAAACAAGCACACACAAAAACTCAGTCTCCATCCACAGTGGCTTTCCGCAAATGGAACACACATCTTCTGCATTGGGAAACAAACGAAAAGAAAAAGTGTGCTGTACTTTATTGCGATATTCACTTTATTGTGGTGCTCTGTTCAGTGGAACTGAACCCACAATATCTCCGAGGTATGTCTGTATCTTTAAATATGCATTTTTTAAATGTATTTTCTTACAAAATACTTATTGCTTAACATAGTTTATCTAAATGCATACATTTCTTTTTTTTTATAAGATATTTATTAAGATTTTCAAAATGTTACAAAACAAAAACAAAAAAAGAAAAAAGTACAAAATAAAAATGGCTAAAAACAACTCAATCTTTCCATTACTTATTTTTCATTAGCTTATTTCCCGGACCTCCTCACGCCTCCCTTTTTTGTATTCCAGTTCTGTTTGTTGGTTCAGCAAATCCTTACCCTCTTTGTTTATCCTAGTCTTTAATCTTAAAATATTGTAACATTAAATTTTTACCTATTAATAATCCATTTTTCATATTCCCTTATAGTATTACAGCTGAAAACCACTTAATTTCTATCCAACATCATTCTAACATTCATTAATTTTACAATATTTCTGTAGATAGTCCTTAAATTTCTTCCAATCTTCTTCCACCGACTCTTCGCCCTGGTCTCGGATTCTGCCAGTCATTTCCGCCAGTTCCATATAGTTCATCACCTTCATCTGCCATTCTTCCAGAGTGGGTAGATCCTGTGTCTTCCAATACTTTGCAATGAGTATTCTTGCTGCTGTTGTGGCATACATAAAAAAAGTTCTGTCCTTCTTGAGCACCATGCATACATTTCTAAACCCGTTTTTATCCTAGCAACATAGTGTACAAATATCTAAGATACAGGATGTACAACCACCTTGGACTTCCTCTTGGCACAAGCAAGAGGTACAAGAAAGGATTTTTGCACTTGCAATGCTGCCAGTGCCAATCTTTCCAAAATGGAGGAAAATGAAAGCACCCCACACTGTGAAATGTAATATCTCAGATCAAAGGAAATATCCTTCTTTTAAAAACTGTGCAAATGAAATAAAAGGTGATGCAGAAAATCCATTTGTAATTTATAACACGACAGAACTGATTGTGATTTGCCTACTTGGGCATTTTTAGTTGTTCTCTCTCAGATACATTTCCATGTTTAATGTATCAGATGAAAGCACGCCATGCTTTCCAGGGTTATATTCTGTGAGATCCCTCCCTCCTTTCAGTTTAATGACTTTATTGGTCCTTTAATCTCTTTGAGAGTCTTTAGCGATTCCAATCGCTACAATTACCTTAAAATCTAATATGTGCACGTCTGGTGTAACTGCAGAAAAACAGGGAAACACACAGTCAGGGATTCCATCCAAAATGTAAGAAAGAAAGATTGCTTATCTGTAAGCATTGTTCTTCCAATGATCGTAAACAGTCACAAATTCTGGGTCACAAATGTTCAGACCATTACCTCTGAAACTTATATGGTGTTCCCTAACGCTCTATGAAATGTACATGTCCAGAGAGGTGAAGATGGTGCACTTGACATGACTGCTTCAAAAATGTATCAATATGAAATGAGCCAGGGTAAGAGGCAGCATCTATAGGAGGCAGAAGGGTATGTGCTTCCATAGTAGGGTATTTGCTTTGCGGTAAGTAACAGTTCCAGATAAGGAACATTGCTTCCTTTGTTCCCCTGGGCAGCTCCAGACATGGGAGACTAGTAAGCGACCTTGCCTGAATGACACAGGATCGCCCTTTTTACTGTGATGGGATGTGTTACTGTATCACTGAAGTGAAAAGGGAGACTCCAGCATCAGGCCAGGTGGTGTATGGTGCCCTTCACTTGTGTCAAAACTGGTCAAGCCCACAAAGAAGTCCAAAGTTAAAAACTTTATACGGTTTTTCTCCTAAGAACTATAACAATCAGGCCAAACCTGTTACATTAACAACATTTAAGTGCTTACAACGATTATGCCACTGGCAATGAGTAATGCGAAACAAATAAAGTATTTGTTGGCCAAACAAGCATATAAATACGTGACACATCGCAAACTTGCATAAGGTGGAAATTTTTGCATGGAATTAAACAGCAAAACACAGTAACTTCTGGCTTGTAAAGGGGTGGGTGGGCGGTCACATCACCAGCTAGAGGCAAAAAGACAGGTCATGCTGGGTGCTGAACAAAGAACACAAACCAACCTCCTTTACAGAATAATTTCCACTGTTTTCAAAAGCTACCAAGATAAACAGAATAGCAGAGAAGTGCACCCAACCTGCTGAACACAAATAAGTGATAATTCTTCAAAGAACAGAAATTGTTGCACAATGTAGCTGCTACCAACAGGAGTGGAGAGAGTTAAATCACTAAAATAACCATGGCTGTTCCCAAATAAAATATTAGACGGTTAGTTCAACTAAGAATTCTGAGAATCATAAGAGAATTTATTGAACAGTGTTTTAAGTATGGCTAAGTTCTACCTCCAATGTTGATGGCAATAGGCTGCTGAATACCTGTTTCTGGGGGAAAGGTCAGGAAAGGTCGGGAAAGTACTATATTTTTCTGGTTTCACTTGCAGGTTTCCCAAGGGCATCTGGTAGGCAACTGGGATAACAGTGTGTTGGACTAGATGGGCTCTTGGCCTAATCCAAGTCTAAACTAAAGGTTTGGATCCAGGTTTTCTGAGAGAGGTTCTACTCCTGGGATGTTCCATGGAGGAAGTGGGGGGAGATCATTTCTGCTGATTAATTCCCCCCCCCCCAAAAAAAACAATGCTCTTTGAAATCCCCTAAGAAGCTGCTCATGAGGTGTTGCTGAGGGCTCCAGGTAGAAATAGGCAAAAACTGCCTCTCTTTCCTCCACCAGGAGCCTCCTCTGGAGTCCTTTCCATGAAGAGAAAAAGCTCTTCTATTTGTGGAGCAGCATATCTGGATCCAACTCAGTAAGCAATTTTTAAAAATCAAGATCTTTTTAAAAGAAATAAACTGAGGTAGTTGCAAAGCAGAGATCCAGTGAACGAGTATACAGTTGTAGTCTTGTTTGTTTTTTTCTCTCAAAAGGATAAAAAATATTTTGAAGAGCTAGAAAGATCTAATTTAGTTAAATGGCAACTGACAATATTCTTATAATGCATACTACAGAATGCTGGATATTCCTATTTCTTATGCTCAAAGACAGCTGGGAAAACAGCAAGAATTGATACTGCCAATTAGTAGGCATTCAATTGGTACTTACAAGACTACTTTTGGAAGTATCCTATGAATGCTTATATAAGGGAATGAAAGACATATGTATTTTTTCCCCAAAAACAATCCTACATATAGGATTCAAGAGCAATTTAATCAGTCAAAGGTTTGCATGGTCAGGAATCTCTCCACCATGGGGCCCACTGACAAGAACCCTTGAACCTGCTTCAGCGAGGCAGTAGATTCACTGAGGGAGGAAAGGCAATGGAAAGTATCTTGGCAAAGAGCCCCCTAAAACCAGCAGCCAAGAGTGCATTTAATATCCTGAAACAAACACCATTTCTGAAAATCAGGTCACAGAAAAATGACAGGACACTGAGTTAGCATACATTGACGCCAATGTTCTTGGAGATGATGATGTTGAACCTGCGACTTTAGTCCCCACATGGCAAGAGAAGTTAATGCTACAACAGAGACGTGAGGAAACCCACCACATCAGAACCACGTTTGCCTGTTATCGCCATAGCATGCAAAATGCCCACTCCAATATTTTTTAGCTCCTACTCCACACTAGGATGAGGCAGCTTTTATACATCTATAAAAAAGGAATATTTAATTAAAAGTAATATAATCGGCACTATCCTTCTGGATTCTTAAAAGTTAATTTCAAATAGATACGTTGCAAGTGCTGTGGTTATTTTAAGATATTTTATTTACTCTGGCTTGGAGCAATGTGTTAAATATTATCACTATAAAACTTCAAAGCACTACAAAAGTCTGGTTTTGGAAATGGGAAAAACGTGCAGGCTAAAGCAAATCTTCTCTACAGAGATGGGAGATTGGCTTTGGGCTCAGTGCCCATGGAGAGATATTTAAAGGGGGGGGGTCTGAGGCTTTCAAATGTTTTCGACATATCACTTCATGGCTTTGCTTGTTTATTTGGCAGGATGTAAATATCTGTGAAAAATTTAATAAAGTGCAGATAAAAATCTGCTTTAAAGAGATTCCCCTTTCAGCCGCTGTTCAGCTGTTTGGTGACATTACTATGGCCTTTAAATTAGCGCCACAGATGACACAGCTGACTAGAGGGTTATTCTAATCAGTAGGGAGTCTCAAGCCATCATGAAAAAGATGCCCTCACGGACTCCAGTAACAGTTTTTTTTCTGAATTCTGAACTGCTCTTTTCCATCAAAAAGAAGAAAAAAGAGGGGGGAGATAAAGTGAAGCATTTCATGCAGCTTATTATTATGCCTGATGAGTCAGACAAAAACTGGTGAGGGAAAATATCTAGCAATAGAGGGGAATTGGCTGCTTCAGAGGACAAAACAGTTAAGTCAGACTATCTCTGGCATGCTCTCAATCACAACAGCCAGCAACTCTCCTCCTTGACTTTTTCCAACAGCTAACATCTCCCAAAGCTGCCACCATGCAGTTCTAATGGTGTATGTTAAAAGCCATCACTGCTACCCTCTGTTGACTGGGAACACTCTGTTGTTGTGTAGTTCAGAAATACCAGACACTGAAAATAAAATGGCTCCTGGCAGAAAGCTATTCTGGAAGGCTTGCCTCTGACATATGTAGAAAAGGATGGGATGTGTGGGTACTCACCCTATTGGAGTGTTCAATCCTCAAAGGATTAGTATTGAATAAGGGGGAAAGGGCTCCATCTCCCTGCTATGTTCTTATTGCCTAGCACACATGCAGGGCAGGTTCCCTGCTCTATACCATACCCCCACCCCTGAACCCATGGAGAGTGGTGGGACTGGGATGCAAAGAAAGAGGTGGACCCAGATCTCTTGCCTATGCAATTCTAATGACATGAGGACAGATAACCAAGTTTAGCATTTCAGCAATAGGATGTATCCATTTATACACAGAAGTGGGGTGAAATAATTTTCCTGGCCATGCTAAGCCTCATATTTTTTGATCGCCACATCACTTGGATTTAGTGCAGTTTATGCACACTGGCATCCTGGACAAAAAGGGATGTTTATGAACCCTGTGGAGATGTCTTGACAGGGCTGGTCAGAGGAGGAAGGAGACAAGGGTGCAGGATTGGATCCTGAGGAGGCACCCAGTGGTCTGGGAGGCCGTGATCTAGATACTGTGGAGGCAGATAAGTAGGTTGTCATGGGGACAGCCCTGCCTTAGAGGCGTTTGACGCCCTGACCAAGCATCAGAGCTGCTTGAGTTGACTCCAGTAGCACATTATGACAGTAAAGCACACCTCACCCTTGAGGCTAGAGCAAATAGTGAGCAGGACAAGGATGCAACAATGGCACCAGCAGACCCAGTTTATTCATAGGAGTGAGTACTTGCTTGCCCAGTGGCTCAGGAAGACAACCAAGTGAATGACTGTGCCCACACACACCCTTCAAAAGAGGAGTTCAGGGGGCATGTCAGGGGTCGTGACAATGTTATAATTTATGCCTATCAATGTATCCTAAACTCTGTTGTAACTTCTGAACTGTGCAATTTATAACACAATATATGTTGGGCCTTCAATAATAATCCAGCTGAGGTCAAGAACTGAGTCTATGAGTGGGAGACAGGGCAGGTGGGATATAAACTACATGAAATAAAACAAGTGAGTTCATTATGTTTCAAGGCCTTATCACAGTTTCCTTTTCTAAGAATCATACATTTATTGGGAGGAGAAAGGAGAAGGCGGCTGCATAAACTTCTTCCCCAAAGTATCCTGGGAACTGAACTTTATTCCTCACAGGCCTACAATTCCCAGAACCCTTAAAAATGCAATTCCCAGGATTCTTTGGGGAAAGTCATGTGCTTTAAATGTGTGACATTTATGCAGCCCAAGCATTCTAAACTGGAACATGAAGTTATTGTGGCATATAGAAGGATGATTTAGAACCCCTGTGTACCAAAAGAGGCACTGAGAAACTTAATTTGAAAGCTAGAATATTCATCTACCAGGTGTTTATTATTTATATCTACTGGGTTTCAAGCTCTTATCTTCCCATTGGAATTGGCCATGCTGCTATGTGTATTGTGGTTTGCTCCAATGGGATCCATCTCCAAAAGATATGTAGCCCCCAGCCTGTGCCATCTGGAGAAAAAATGCAGGATAGCTGCATGCTAATCTTTTGCAGTAAACACAAGGAGTCCCATGGCACCTTCAAGACTAACAAATGCATTGTAGCAGAAGCTTTCATGGAAAAAACCCACTTCACCACACATCATACATATTACTAAGTGGCCACTAGACCACAAAAGTGAACATCACAGTTTATGTGTTCACCTCTGCAGCACCACAAAAGGTCTTGAAGGAAAGATGTTTATCAAGAAGAAAGCCTCTATCAGCAAAATATGATTTTCACTACAATCTTGTTTTAGAATTTTGAAATGCTATATGACATCGTAGTTGATCCTAAAAGACATGCTTTTAGGTATCTAGAGCTGAGTTGAATTACCGGGGGGAAGAGGGCTTTACAAACATTTTCATGGTCTTTAAAAATATTGCCCACATTATGAGTGTTTGTTCAGGGAAGAACTCAAGAGGTATCCTGTTCAGGAGCCGGCAGGGGTGGAGGGCGAGAATCAGGCAAGTGGAGTCAGGCTCCTGTTGAATAACCTAGAAGACCACCAAGCATACAAGTGCTCCTAACAAGCCTGGAACTCAACTAAGCTATGTTATTGTCTTAGACTGACTCCAACTCCTCCCAGGCTCTCACTCTTTCCTGAAGAGTGCAGCACCTTTTAGGATTGCACAGGGTTATAGAATAGACTTCCCAGAGGAGGGGGTTCATCATCTTTGTGGTCTTCCTGGCATTCTTATTCATCCAGGCCTTGTAAATAGCTTAAGTAGTTTGGGCCATTGTTTTTGACATCTCTTTAATGTAGTAGGAGATGCTGAGCCAGTGCAAGCAGGAACGGAGCAGGAAGAACAAATAGCCACCCATGGATTGTGGATTCTTGAGGGAATATTCATTAATATTTTTGTGGGTGCCACAGAAGATACCATTGAACACACTGGCACCTTTAGGTATCATGCTGGTGATTCCTGCCTTACTGGTTGATATGATTATCAAAGGAATAGAAGAAAACTTGGAAATTTCAAAACTGTACTGAAACAGCAACAGAGACAGATCAAGGGGCAACGGTAGCAAAGAATTATGAACGACGGCTCAATGTGAAAGGAAGGGCATTTCAAAAGTGTGTTACAAAGTCCTTGAAAACCTTTTTTTCCCTTTAAATATTGCTCAAGGATTCTTTTTTAAAAAATAGTTGAAGTTGTAAGACACATATGAAAACTATTTGAATGACTAGAAAATGAGTGGGAGGCTGCATCTGGATGCTAATCAATGCCCCCACTCCCACAACTATCCAAATATATCATCATCTTGGAATGGAATGTAAGGACAAACAATATTTTCATGCAAAAGAATTACTTAGCTGAGACCAAATATAGGCATTCTATGCAACTGAATTAGGTCTGGCAGGGAAACGTTATGATGGATATAAATCATGTATGTAACCACACATGTGTGTCTATATTATCGACATCTATTTTAAGTTATTTCCATGTTTCGTTTTACCTCTTTTGGAGTTCTATAAATGTGTTAAAATCAAAAAGTGGTGAATTAGATTCTGCATTTCAGACCACACTTTTCCCTTATGCATGGATGTCGGGGGAGGAGAGATGTCAATCATACTAACCAAGCATAGAATACTTGAGGGTTTGGGCCAAAAACTTGATTCCTGGTAAATACATATAGTTTTTGAAAGTAAGTACTGTTCAATATATTACTTCTGAAGAGAACTTTTTTCTTCTATAGCTCTGGCATGAAATTCCTTCAAGCGGTCTTTTCAGAACGTACAAATGCAAATCAATTTTCTTCCCTTGCTGTCATGCTAAAAGGCAGCTCATGGAGAAAGATGCTTTAAATTATTATTATTATTAAATTACTCAACAAAGACAATCTGCAGGGCAAAATAAATTATTTAAAAAACTATGCTCAAAAGCAGCAAGTGCATCAACAAATGTCTGTTATTTCCATTGTCATCACCACATAAGAACGACGTTTACTGAACTGGACCAAATGACGCCTTTCACCAGCATTCTGACTTAGAGTGGATATTGTCAGATACTTGAGAGGAAGTTAATCATAACCTCTTGACATGGAGTGACTTCTGTTGTTGTTCACTCTTTATTGGCCATGACCAAGGGCCGCTTTATCCAGCAAATTAACTTCCGCACCCACTGTTCCCCAATATTGATATTGATAACCTGCACTAACCAGGACTCACACATCAGAAGGGTGTACACAGTTGGTTTATATTATTGCTCAACCACACTGCTCCCTACAGATTTGTACCCTTGACTTCCAGTTTCCATAATTCTCCTCAAACTCTCCCATCTTCTTCTTTGCAAATATTGTCAACATACTGTTTATTTCTTATATAATTTTATATATTGCCCCATAAGGTGAAGGTACCCCTGCCCGTACGGGCCAGTCGTGTCCGACTCTAGGGTTGTGCGCCCATCTCGCTTAAGAGGCCGGGGGCCAGCGCTGTCCGCAGACACTTCCGGGTCACGTGGCCAGCATGACGAAGCTGCTCTGGTGAGCCGGCACCAGCGCAGCACACGGAAACGCCATTTGCCTTCCCGCTATAAAGCGGTACCTATTTACCTACTTGCACTTAGGGGTGCTTTCGAACTGCTAGGTGGGCAGGAGCTGGGACCGAAAGACGGGAGCTCACCCCGCCGCGGGGATTTGAACCGCCAACCATACGATTGGCAAGTCCTAGGCACTGAGGTTTTACCCACAGCACCACCTGCGTCCCGAGTAATCATATTGCCCCATAGATTACACTAAAATTAGGCTGCAGCTGAACAACTGGGACACCATTATCTTTTGCATGTGAGAAAGCCCAATATTCATAGAATCATAGAGTTGGAAGAGACCACAAGGGCCATCGAGTCCAACCCCCTGCCAAGCAGGAAACACCATCAGAGCACTCCTGACATATGGTTGTCAAGCCTCTGCTTAAAGACCTCCAAAGAAGGAGACTCCACCACACTCCTTGGCAGCAAATTCCACTGTCGAACAGCTCTTACTGTCAGGAAGTTCTTCCTAATGTTTAGGTGGAATCTTCTTTCTTGTAGTTTGGATCCATTGCTCCGTGTCCGCTTCTCTGGAGCAGCAGAAAACAACCTTTCTCCCTCCTCTATGTGACATCCTTTTATATATTTGAACATGGCTATCATATCACCCCTTAACCTCCTCTTCTCCAGGCTAAACATGCCCAGCTCCCTTAGCTGTTCCTCATAAGGCATCGTTTCCAGGCCTTTGACCATTTTGGTTGCCCTCCTCTGGACACGTTCCAGTTTGTCCGTGTCCTTCTTGAACTGTGGTGCCCAGAAGTGGACACAGTACTCCAGGTGAGGTCTGACCAGAGCAGAATACAGCGGCACTATTATTTCCCTTGATCTAGATGCTATACTCCTATTGATGCAGCCCAGAATTGCATTGGCTTTTTTAGCTGCCACGTCACACTGTTGGCTCATGTCAAGTTTGTGGTCAACCAAGACTCCTAGATCCTTTTCACATGTACTGCTCTGAAGCCAGGTGTATTTTGTATTTGTGCCTCTCATTTTTTTTGCCCAAGTGCAATACTTTACATTTCTCCCTGTTAAAATTCATCTTGTTTGTTTTTGCCCAGTTCTCTAATCTGTCAAGGTCGTTTTGAAGTGTGATCTGGGGTGTTAGCCACCCCTCCCAGTTTGGTGTCATCTGCAAATTTGATTGAATCTGAAGGATTTCTGTTCATGCCTGCTCACTCAATACACTTTGCAGGCCATTCATGCTTTATTGCATGGCACCCAACAATTTATTCTATACACTTGTTATGCCTGGAAATAAAAACTGGACTCCTAACTGCAAGCAGCTATTCAAAGTGCTAGCAGGAACCATTTAAAGCATGCATAGGCAAACTAAGGCCCGGGGGCTGGATCCGGCCCAATCACCTTATAAATCTGGCCCACAGATGATCCAGGAATCAGCATGGTTTTACATTAGAAGAATGTGTGCTTTTATTTAAAATGCATCTCTGGGTTATTTGTGGGGCATAGCAATTCGTTCTTCTTCTTCTTTTTCAAAATATAGTCTGCCCCCCCACAAGGTCTGAGGGACAGTGGACTAGCCCCCTGCTGAAAAAGTTTGCTGACTCCGGATTTAAAGAAACAAAACAAAAAGGGATAACTGCACATGGCTTGGATATTGCTGAGACAATTTATGATTACTTGTTTAAAGAAAGCCATTAAAATTAGCAATCAGTGTAATTAATCAATTAAAATTTTAATTATACAGATCAGAACTCCTATCCTTAATTAACAGTTGAGGATGATAAACAGAGAGAAATCAGGACTAGAGACACATGAAGAGCCAATACAAACACATCAGTCCAGTTTTTGTCCCAAAATTTCTTAAAGAAGAATCCTCCAGGTGGCTTTTCCCTCTATGTGTATCTAAAGCTAGGAGACTATTTCCCTTTCATTGTAAGATCATGGGTTTTCATACTAAGAAACAGGCAACTGCAGCCAACAGTGTGCCATTGAAATCAATGCCAATATGTCTTTTAATTAGGGAGGGGGGTCTCCAGGTGCATGTGGGGTGGGCAAGGGAACATTCTCCCTCTCTCAGGGACATTCCTGAACAACAATTTTAAACTGAAGACATGGGGCTAAATTTTAATAAAAGTCAAAATAGGCTGGGAAAGACTCATGCTTGCAGACCAGGACAGCTACTGTCAGTGAGAGCAGCTTTTCCCTACCTTGTCCCTTCCTGATGTTTTGGACTACAGTTACCAGCATCCCTGATCTGGCCATGCTGGCTGGGACTGATGGGAGTTGGAGTCCAACAACATTTGGAAGATACCATATTGGAGGACGCTGGTATAGATGCCACTCAGCTAGTTTGACTATTATGATTATGATTATTATTACCCCACCTATCTGGCTGGGTTTCCCCCACCACTCTGCCGTCAGTAAAAGCTGTGTAGACTGTATTCCAGCGAATGCCGTAAATTAATTGTTTGTTAATTAAAACTGGTCACCTGCAAGGAAGGAGTGCTTATTTATGATAGGCACCAGCCATACTGTTAAGGAGGTCAAAATATGGGCTAATATTTTGAATTACAGTACAGATCATTGGTGGAAACATCTCTAAATAGATGTTAGAAAACTGCTTCTGACTGGCATTGAGAACTGTGGATGAAGAAATCCACAGCAGAGGAAACAATATCCTCTATAGACATAATTAAGTGAATTGCTTTAATACAGTTAAAACTTTTAACCTTCACTATATTCGAAACGGATACAAGAATTGCTTCTATTTAAAGTTTGTATGAACAGTCTATGCTGCACTAAAACTTTTACAGTGATGTAAACCATTGAAATAAATTATCTTAATTTGGTCAGATCTATATTCATTAACTGTATTACCCACCAAGGGAATAAAAGACAAATTTTAATTCTACTAATGTATTTCACTTGTGCATTCGTTTGGCACTATAGTAATTAAGGGCACTGTTCAACAATGTTCCCTCACTCTTCACTTAGGCTGAAGTCCCAGTGGGACAACAGCAAAAATTTGGCCTAACTGTGAAGTGTTGAGCTTGTAATAATTTTAGGTGTGGAAATATTAATTTTGTGAGCCTGAAACATATATTCTGAAGCACTCTAGATATTTATCTTTTAGTGCCCTTAAGCACTGTGAATTAGAACATTTACGTAATCAGGAAACAGTGCAACATTCAGAGTATACAAATAACGAAGAATCATTACATTATGAACCAGCCTCACCAAACATCAGATGGAAATTCACTGAGGAGTCATGATGCAGACTCAAGAAGAAAAGGGGGGAAACTTAGGGATTTGCAATTCAAATATGCCCAATGGTGAGAAAAAATAATAATAAACCATATTTAATAGGTTGATCAATGTGACTCGTTAAAAAGAAGTTTTTAAAAGTAAACAGTTCATTGGCTGAGAGCATTTCAGTGCCACTGGCCCTCTTATAAACAATTACCATGTGGATTTTTACAATGAAAACAACCTGTATTTATTGAAAGAACTAATATGGTGCTCTATAGTTTTGTTGAACTATAGTTTTGTTTAACACAAAGAAATTGTTTCTAACTGTTAAATAAATTACTCCTGCTTTTTTGGCTCCAAAAGACTAGTATTCAACTGAACACACCTTTTCAGGTTGTCTACTGATCCATGTTTTAATTATCTACAAATTTTGTTTATGTAAGTTATATACAGGAATGGACCAATACATTTTGTTGCCTAAAGCAAAGCCATTCTGCATACAGAAGCCAACTGGACTGACAGCTGAAATGGACCTCAATGCTGATGATGGAACAACATCCTCTACTGTGCCTGAGGGCAGCATACTAGCTAGTTTCAAGAGTGCAGGACAGGCCTTGTGGTACACAGAGCTTGCCCTCCAACACCTTCACTCACCACCATCAATGGCCACCATCTGCCATGTGAGAAAGAAGAGAAGAGCATCTTCATATTTTATATCATTTATTTGCCTTTGCCCTTTAGAACTGTAAAACACCTTGGGGTTCTTGGTAGAAAGCCAGTAAATAAATGAAATAAATAAACACCTCACCTCTGCTCCCTGTCTCCCATGTCATGCACACTGCAATAGGGGAGAGTACACAAGCCCAAGGCTCATACTTATAATGCCAAACTGTGGTTTAGGGTTTTAAATAGACCTCTTGGAAGCTGGTGATCAGTGGTGAATTTACCGCCTTAGCACACACTTGTTTAAATGACAGCAATAATATTCTCAGGTTGCTTAAACTGGCCAGGGCTATTAGCTGCTGTATCACCAGCCTGTGGTAACATAGTTGGATAAGGAGAAAAATTGCATTTTCTAACCATGACATCACTGACACTACAGCTTCTGCACTATCTGTTGTCATAACAGGTGGAGATTGAATTGCAGGGGAGGGAGACTTACATATTCAAAGTAGAGCTGAGCTTCAATTTCTCAGAAAATAGTATTCTGAAACATTTTTATAAGGGGGAGGGTTTCCCTGAAAAAGCATGCAATTTTGCAGCATTTCAAGGGGCCATTTTTGCTGAGCCCAAACTAGACACTTGGCAAGTGCAACCCCTGAAATATTGTAGTCAATAATTCAACACTAACTTTCACTAAATAGGTCTGTCTGAGATTCCTCCAGAATGAAGAAAGGGCCCATAGATTGTAAAAAAACATATAGATACATAGATAGGTAGCTAGATATGATTCCTGCAGGTAAAGAAAGAACAACCCAGGAACCTAACACCTCATTCAAAAGCTTCAGTTCTCCTCAACATCTAGAAAATAGAGAAGTTCACCCAGGGATAGTATTTAGCTGCTCCTAGTGCACCTCTCTCTGGTTTTAAAAATCAAGCGTGTGCCACTTAGCTGCAGTAGGCTATCCTGCAATCTTATCCTTGCAGGAATATGATGGATTGTTGGGTTATTTCTCTATATCTGTAACTGCTGCATGAAGAATCTCGACATTTGGATAGCCAGTCTCCTCACTGCATATGAAGCTGGCAATATACTGTAGTTATTTCTAAAGCAAGTAGTGTTTTTCACAACAGGCTTGCGTAATAGGTACAAAAGACTGCTTCACTTTTTCCTTAAAATTATTTGTGAAGGATTAAACACTATTATACACCACTAATGTCATTCCTGGAAGAGATCTATAAAATTTTACATGACTTATAGAATACACAGGCACCCTTAATATACAGAGTGCCTGTGTATTCTGTAACTCATGAGCTCAACATATTTGCAGCCAAGGATGGCAAAGAAGCTAATCTAGGATGCATCATTTTATGGGGTAGAATTAAAGAAAACCTTTATCTCAGAGCATTCATGCTTTCTTCAAGAAGTGTGCTTTGTAATATAATGTGGGACAATACATATATTCAAGCATATTTTCCTAACCAGCAACTACAGATGCTACTCTCTAGTTCACCAGGCTTCAAAAAACGGGCTGCCAATTATTTTACATTACTGAAAATTGTGATAATATGCACCTGAGTGGACAAAGGAGCGCACACACACATTTTCAAATGCTTTTTCAGTGATCAGATGATGAGGTCCAGGGTAGTGTAATGAACAGCAGCAATTTCTTTATATAAAGGCTAGCTCTTTTCTCTTAATAAGTCCCTCTCTGCAGCTTTATGCATGTTTGTTCATAATGGTGCTGAAGAAATAGACAATCTGCTAGGAGAGCTTGCACTAACAGTGAAAAAATTCTGAAATTCACTGCAAAATGAGGAAAGAAAATGTAGTCTCTTATTCCTTCCCACAAAATAGAACTTCCATGCTGTGTATTTAAGAGCCACTATGGAGCACTGGTTGTCTTGTCAGGCTACAACTGGGAAGACCCAGATTCAAATCCCCACTCAGCCATGAAGTTCACTGGGTGAACTTGCATCAGTCATTAACTTTTAAAACAGTGATAGATAACATGGTACCATCCAGATATTTTTGAATACCACTCCTATGATCCCTGATCATTGGGCTGGAGCTGGTAGGAGTTGACACCCAACAACAACTAGGCAGGACTTGAGTGTCATTACATAACACAAAACATAGGTAGAGAGTTTCCTGGGGCATCCAGAGTTGTACAAACTAAGTGTAACATTGCAGGATTAAAGCCAAGTCACAGGGGTGGAACCGACTCCCTCGGGAGGTGGTGGACTCTTCTTTCATTGAAGGTTTTTAAGCAGAGGTTGGATGACCATCTATCATGTATGCTGAAATTGAGATTCCTGCATTGCAGGGAGTTGGACTAGATGACTGTTGGGGTCATCTAGCTCTACAATTCTATGATTCTAATTAGTTAGTCCTTGCTGAAAAAGAGACAAGCCTGATCCTCTTCAGAAAATACAGAAAAGGATATTGAGTTCACCACAAGCCAAATAGGCTTGCTGGTTGGCTCCCATTCACACTGGATGATTAATAGATGAATTACAAGCATTGTTTGTGTAAGATCTTATAATGGGTTCCAGGGATCAACTGGATGATTGCAACCTCCTGCTTGTGGCTAGCATCTGCTTGGGTCAGCATTGGCTCATCATTTATAAAACATAGACAAGCTAAGTAAAAGCAAGTACTCTTTAGCCACAGAGCAAGCCTAGTTTGAACAACCAAGACACTACAGAGGGCCTGGTGTAAAGTCATTGTTTGCCAAAATAGATACACAAAGTCCATCACCCCGGGCATGAAGAAAGCACACTACTTAACTACTATGCCTAATAATGGTTGATAGACCTAGACCACATGAGTTTCTCTGAACTGTAGCTCAGTGGTGGAGCATCTGTGTTGAATGCAGAAAATCCCAAATTCAATCCCTGGCAGCTCCAGGTTAGGCAGGTGAAGACACTGCCAGTCAGTATAGACAGTAATAAGCTAAATGTTCTGACTCAGTGTAAGGCAGCTTCCTATGTTCCTACACCCTTCTTTAAAGTTATTTAAGCCAGTAACTTCCCTTCATGGATCATGAGCCATGCCGTTCAGGGCCACCCAAGACGGACAGGTTATAGCCGAGAGTTTAGACTAAATGTGATCCACCTGGAGAAGGAACTGGCAAATCACTCCAGTATTTTGCCAAGAAAACTCCATGGACATAAAAAAGGAGAAGCTTTGAGAAGAAAGTGGGTTGCTCTGGTTCATGGAGTCACAGGGAGTCGAACACGACTAAGACGACTAAACAACAACAACAATCACTATAATCACTTCTACAGCAGTGAATTCCATGGACTAAAGTAGTAGTACTTTATTTTATGGGTTCTGAATCCACTGTCTGTCTATTTAATTGGGTGCCCAAAATTCCTATTAATATGAGAAAGAGGGGAAAGTTGTCACTCCCACTTTTTTTTCTGCCATGCCGAACTTTATAAAGCTCTGTCGTGTTTGCCTTTTTAAAAACAACAACAAATAATAATTTAGTCTTTCCCCCATGGAAAGATGTTCCAGTCCTTGATCATTTTGCTTGCCCTATTCGAGTAGTAAAATAAATTTTATGGGATAGGGAGAGTAAAACTGTGTAGAAGGCATTCCAAGAACAGTTCCACCACAGATTTATATAAATTCACTATGACACAAGCCATTTTATTTTCAATCCAGTTTGTAATAATCTCTAATGCTGAATTTTCTTCCTTCTCACTGTCACTGCAGGCACTGAGGTATTCATCACCACCCCAGTACCTTTTTTCTGAACTGTCACAGCAAATTGAGTTCCCATAAACATATGTATAAGTTTCTTGCCTCATTTCAACATGCATCATTTTACACTTATTACAATGAATCTCATTTGCCATTTTGTTTCCCATTTGTCCAGGTCTGGAGATAATCCTTGGGGATGATTTGGCATCATCCACAAACTTGAGCACATTTAAGAGTAAGTCAAAAAGGGCTCCCAATAATGCAAAGTGATCTCGCATCAAACAGGGTGCCGGCCAGATTAGAAAGAGTGTGGACTGCATCTGATCTGATTAGACCACCCACATCTAAGAACACGCCTGGAAGGTAAAGATAATGATCTGGGCCATAGCAAGTGGCCAAGCTTGCTGACTGATATCACTGGCTGTGCACAGTAGTAATCAATATGTCTGTTTAGATGAAAATTCACCCCTGAGACCCTATATCCTCACGGCTAATTCAGGAGAAACTTTTTGGCTCCCTCTCTTCCTTCCCATAACTTCTCCAATATGTTAATGCAGGACCTTCCAGTTTAATTAGGTCCACCCCTTGGTGAAGAGAAAGATAAGAAGGGTGGAGGAAGAGTGAAGATGGGAACATGCCATAACTGTCAAAGGGCAAAGTACCACCAGAAATGGCCCAATGTGTTTACAAGAGAGAGCACCCTAAATATAAATTTGTTAAGTAATCCAAATTCCACTAAACAAATGCAAGACAGACATAGCATATTAAACACTTAAAAATATGTATGCATTAAAGATTTAAAACGTATAGGAAGGGGGAGGGAAAGGGTTAAAACCATGAATTCTCCTTGCATCTGGTCTATCATTTACAAGCCTCATCCTCACCCTCCACAGTGTTATGCTCCATTCTGCTCTCATTATAGATTTGCTTCTACTGTTCATGCCCTGTTAAACAATTTCAGTTTAATTAATTACCCCACTGATATGAAATCACCAAAGGATCCTTCGTTTCTAGGTACATACAGACTCATTAACATCAAATTTAATAGATCTTCAAGGGGGGGAAGCCCACGCACACAAAAAAGATACTCAGAAAAAGAGGTGAAAAGATCGCTCTGTTAAGTAACACCATTCAAGTATGTTTTGATATCACTGCTGATCTCAACAGCAATTGTGGGCTTGGAAATGCACAAAATACAAAGCTATCAGAAATATGTAAAGGGAATACCTTTTTTTAAAAAAGAAGATCACTCTTAAAAACTCCCAGTTCAACTTGCCTTGAAAGATGGATTTCTAATTTAGTGTTAACAATAAGAAACCAATAATATGGACTAGGTGGCAGCTGACAGAATTTTCACTCTGAGCATCAGCTCAGCAACATCAGGCTTTAAGATGCCAGAGGTACTGTACAGCAGTCTCGTATAATCCATGTATTGGTAGACTGTACTACTTCAGACTGTGTATGGGGAATTGAAACCTGAATGCTTTCCCATGTAAACATCTCCTGGCTGGTTGCAAGGCTGGTCTCATTGCAGCCCATTGTACCAGCATAACAAAGATTGTGCAGGAGGATGAGAACTAAATTCAACCAGTATTATAGAGAGAAGCAGAGCTTTTTTTCAGCCAGAACTCACTCAGTTCCAGCACCTCTCAGGTGGGTACCCATTGCCATTATAAGAGAACAAGTGAGGTTTTCATTGTAAGTTCTGGCACCTCTTTATTTAATAGAAAAATAGCACTGGATAGAAGGATTTTAATCCTTAATCCATAAATACCAGTTGTATATGTGCTGGGATGTTTTTATGGGGGGGTTATCAAATGGAAATGACCCCACCTGCAGTCTGTATTAGTACAGTCCTATAACAGATGCATTGCACAATATTGTGTTTCAGCTTTAACACTGGCCATTCTATGCACCAAGGGTTATCACCATAGCACTCATTGGCACACATGCACCCACAGGGACGTACCCTGATTCCCACAGGTTCTCCTCACCCGTCCTGAAATGGCTTTAAAAAAGCATTTTATTCTAGCCAACAGAATAGGTTGGCATGTGTGCTTGGCTGCAGCCTGTGTGCTGTGTGATGCTCACAATAGTATCTCCAGTCTGAAATGTGAACATGGGCCCAAAAGGTGGCAACCTCTGCTAGATCCAATGCATTTGCATCCAACTTGTTTTCTGTTAAAATATTACCATATCCTTCCAACATGACCCAACAGGATGCCCAGACTAACACCACCACCATTTAAAATATAGGTAAGGGCACATGGCATTGTGTGTGCATGCATAAATAAAGGTTTGATTATCTAAAGACACACGTTACCTGTTCTTGTCTCTCCAGCCATTTATCTACCATGGGGTGGGTGGCACTTAGTGAAGAGCGAGCATTGTCCCTCTGAAACTGGGTAGACCAGCTACTGGTGTCTCGTGGGAGGCTTCTGTAATTTTCATCTTTCTGTTTCAAAACAAAAACAGGGAAGAAGGTGATACAATTTAAAAGCAAAACACAATAACACTGTCTAAGGGCACTAACCATGCAGCAGGTTTTCAAAAGAACGACACACCAGAGACAGACTGGAAATGAAACAGAAAGTATCATTTCCAAGTTTAGGTCTCTACAGAACACTAGCACTGCAAGCCTACGTATGGCACTTTTATAGCCAGTGTGTCCTAGGGGCTCTTAAAATGCAATGTGCATTTGCACACTCAGAGGCTGCTATGTTTTCCCGACAGCAGTTCCGGAAAACTCATGTGCAAAATGGACCTTCTCTTTAAAAAGTTATAGCAGTGGTGCAAACGCTATGGCGAGTGTGTTAGAAAATTCTGCAGGTGAGTGAGTGTGTTAGAACCTGTGTTACAACACACCAGGGGCTTCTAACAGCTTCAAATAAGGTGTAGCTATTAAGATTTAAGGTAGGGAGAGGTATAGAAAGTGGGGTTAGTTTTAAAAGAATATAGAATTTTTTTTAAAAAAACCCTGACAGACTAGTCTTCAATCAATAGGAATCTTGAAGTGCTTAAACATGTGGCAGAGTATCCTGGCTTACAGGTTAAGTCTGGATTCTGCTACTGGAAAAGGACAGACACAGTTCCTCCGGGAAAGAAAAATCATGTTTATGTTGAATCCAGGGAAAAGAGAGAAGGGTCCAGCCAATGGGGAAGGATATCAATCCTGCTTGGGACAAAGACAATCCTAGTACAATCTCTTTTGTGTCATGTTATATATCTAGGATGCAAACCTTAAAGCAATAAACAGAGCACTCTGCCTATTTATGTGCGCCCTCTCTGATACATATGGGGTTCTGGTCCCCAGACTGAAGCACAATAAATATAAAAAAGGGATTAAGGTCCTATTAAAATGCACAATGGGGAAACAAGAGGCAAAGTAGCAAGTCACGGAAAGGGCTCTCCATAGTGGAAAGGGAGCTGTCTGGAATTTAATAGTCATCCAAAGGCCTTGACAGAAAGCAGCAGGTCAGGTGTGTGGCAGAATATTGCTTCTCGTTCCATTTCCTCTTTGTGTCAAAAACATATCTGCAACTGCTAAGAGCCAACAGCAACTATTTAAATCATCTGATGTGGTGCAAAGCCAAAGCAAAATCACAGTTGGGAAAAAGAAATATGACTTGACGTGAGGGAAAACCACTTTAAACCATAATTTATTGATGTGACCTTGTCATATGACAGATCCCCGGCTTCTCTGACTGAGCAAATGAGCATCCTTGCAAGGAAGACCGGCTGGATAATGAACTCCCTCTACTATATTGATTGGCAATTACCATTTTCTATACATACTTCTACAACAAGGCTACATAATCCTATTCTATGCAAAGAATAAACCTCCAGACAGCTACTTTTAAATTTTCTCAGAACAATATTGGGAATCTCAAAGCATACATATGTACTTCAGTTCAACATCTAACTATGGACTACAACCTATTTTTGTAGGAGGTTAGGCCTTTCTGTGTAAGAGCTAAGGTTTAATTCCCACTGAGCTGTACTACATAAAGATGTAGGAAGATTTCTAATGAGTTCTCTGCATATGAAGCAGCAACATGTAGCCTAAAATAGTACAGCCCTGGCACAAGTTGACCACCCAGTGAGAACTAGGTCTTACCAAATGATTTGTAATCTCAGCACAAGACCTTGTACAGCCTCTAACTTTTGAAAAGGGGGGGAAACAAATTATAGTTGGCTT